GATTTCTCTAGATTCAAACCACGAGGTAACAAAAAGAACTACAAAGTGCCAAAACATGCAGGTCCTCGAATTTCTACATGAGGCAATTCTTATTGACTGTAATTTAAAAGCTTCCAACTTTAATAAAACTCAGTTGTTGAAAGGATGTTAAGAAGCCTGAAGTCATGGACCTCTGTGTGGTTGCTTTCAGTGACAGATGGCTGCTTGCTGTTTGTGTCTCCTCAGTTTATGTGGTTACTGCAGACGTGTTTGTGTTGTTGGTGCCTCTGGAGAACTTTCATGCAAATATCAGACAAAAAAAAACACTGCAAGTCTTTGCAATAATCCAACATATTTGAATTTTAACTGTATTACGTTTGTATAATCTTTCTCACACACCTGCCCCAGGTGGCTCACCTCAACAGGTGTCTTCAGCCTTGTTGCCTTATTAGACTTCTTCCAAGCACAGCATGGGCAAATTCATACCATTGACTGACATCTGCCCACCTGAGAGGGTGAGACAACATATCCTGTTAACACTTAGAGGGTTTAATGACATCTTGTGACTTCAACTGAAGCACATTAACATCAGAGAGAACTGAGATGCAGGGCAGGTTGATTAGAGGTTTAATTAGCCCGAGTGATTGAAAACTGTGTGAGTTTGCAGAGCCTCTAATATAATTAACAATGAAACTGATAACTGTAACTGTTGAATAGATGCAGTGCAGTTTAACGTTCAATATTGTCTTTTGAAAAACAGGCAGGAAAATTAAAACTACGTAACTTGCAAATACTCCTGTGAAGTACAAGTACCTTTGAGCTGTCCTTGAGCAATAGATAAACTAAGCGTGTTTTAGTGCTGTACTACGATTGGTTAATACAAACCTTTAAAGTTCTAAATCATTTTGAGTGATTATCCTCTTTATATCTATATATGTATATATATCTAAAGGATGAACAACAACAAAAAAAGCTTTAACAGTGCAGATATTATTTTTCACATTTCTTAACCCAGTCATCGCTGATTGTGGGAGTTTGAGAAATACAAGGCCAGACAAGCCCACTGACACGTTGTATAATATTTGACTATACAAATAAACCTGACTGGACTTGTTTGACGTTCTGCTTTTAAAAAAATTAGATCATTTTGTTTTACCACTTAGCATTTTGTGGTCCTTTGTGTGTTCTTTATATCATTTAAAAATGTATTCAAACAGGAACTATAGTGTTACTAGTGTCCTGGCCGAGACAGGCAGCAGCCCGTTTATGAAGTGATGTAAAACACAGAGAGATTACAGACACAGATCAACATATCCTGAGTCACAGAGCAGAAAAGTCATCATTCAAAGCATCTACAACCTGAAACATCTACTTACAACACCTTCAATCTACTAATGTAGAGATTTAAAGAGAGCAGCACCCACAGACACAGATCCTCCTGCAGGAGATTCCAGACCGCAGATGCAACAAAACTCCTTTTTCCCATTTCAAGACAATCTAACAGATAACCAGAATCAGTTTTGAGACTACATGGGTCACAGAGCAGACTGTAGCTTCCAGCACTTTCCTCATGAGTACAATTACACAAGTATGAGGCAGATTAAGTATATTAAGTTTTACATAAATAAGGACAGGCCAATGATTTTTCTACGAATAGATAATGCAGGACAGCAAACTCCATCATACAGAGTCGAATGACGAGTCTGTGTTGTTTCAATATGAAACTTTTACAGACATAAGACGTTAAATAGTGTGAGCAGATTTTTATTAACCATGCTTTACTAAAAACACAATCTCCTAAAGTCCTCCTAAACATTTTTTAAGGACATTTGTAGAAATTGTACTCAAATAATCAAATAAGATTGTCACACAAAAGTTAATAAAATGTGTTGTTTTCTTATAAACACACATCAAGTATATCAAGGTGTAAAAATTGGTGCCACCTTAATCAACCATCATTTTTAAGAAACGCGTGTTATAGCTTATTAAATAATATCAAACTAACAAGAGGAACTCAATAATACCTCTACATTTTGTTTTGTATTTTTACTGAAGAAAAACATGTGCCTATGGACTTAAACTTGTAGTTATCATTTGTATTATTGTATATTAGTAAAATGAATTGTCAAGAATTGCTACTTTTACTTAGATTTATTATAATAACTAATTCACCGAGTGTTGGCTATATAAGAAAATGTTAAGGAAGCCCACAGAACAAAATGCTTTCATTTCTGAGCAAATCTCTCTAGGATGATGCAAAATAAAAAAAAACTCTAACTTGTAATTGCATCATGGTCAAGAAGGTTACACGTTTCAACATAGACCGTAAATAAAACATTTAAATACAGTCTTTGACTTCAACGGGACACGGCTGCCCCCTGGTGGTCGAATACGAGAAGAACTTTTTTTGCTCGTCTTCTATTGGCAGATGAAACATGACGCAACGCGGGGCAAATAAGGAAGTGAAATCCAAAGCAATTGTGGGGTTTTGTTTTCGATTTATGTGACCAAATTCCCCATGTGTTAAGGTTTAACCCGCTGCTTTTAACAGGTATTTAGTCCACTTGTTTGTCTTTCATCGTACGGACTGATAAGCTTGTACTGTTAATGTCTACACTCGTTTATATTTCACATGTTGACTTGTTGTTGTGCATTGTGTCAGATAACTTTCAGATATGGGTGACTTTCCTGTAAACCCGCTGGTTGTGATTGGTGTTGGGTCCAGCTTTGCCTTCTCCAGCCTTTTCTATCATTTGTACCAAGAAAAGAAGAAGGAGTTGGTCAAGCTAAAGGCAAGTAGATGACATGTTTTGAGTCTCATTAAGATATAAACACAACTGTAGCATGTTTTTAATATCTTTTATACATCTTCTTCTTAGGAAATACCCGTTTTCAAGCCAGATCGTCATTTGGTTCAAGTTCTGAAATCCTCTCCCCTCAGGAGACTCCAGTATGTTGCTGTTGAAGGTTTGTCTTGAGTTTACATTTCAGTAATGTCTTTTTGAATGGGGGGGTTTGAAGAAGAGTTACACTTTGTGTTGTTGCACCTGATTTGCAGGTCTGGTCCAGGCAGATGGGGAGCCTCTGGCCAGCCAGTTTGTCCCACGATGCTTCGGTGTGATTCAGAAGATATCAGTGGAGGAAACATGGAAATACTGGAACTCCCTCAGTAGGACATGGTACAGAAAACTGCAGAATTAAACCAAAATGTATTTTAATTAATCGAAAAGCCTTCTGATTTGTGGCTGATAACTTTTGCAGGAATTCTCGGACAATGAACAAAAAAGAAACCAACAACTCGGTGCCGTTTAGTCTGGTCAGCCCTGGAGCCTACATCAATGACTTGTTCGTGAGGGTTCAGAACCCTCTGGAGGCCTCTGGGGACTATCTGGAGAGGGTGTATTTCAAAGTGAGACGAGCTGAGGAGGGCTTGGTGGACGTGGTGTTGCAGGGAATCAGCGGCGAGAAACCTGCGGCGATGGAGGAGAGCGAGGAGCTCCTGCGGGTGGGGAGCACCCTGACTGGTTTTGGCGAGGTGGTGCTGGAGGGCGGGCAGGTGATGAGGCTGCAGGCCCCACAGGACGGCCGCAAATTTATCCTGGTACCCTCCGATCACAGGAGCTTCATGGACAAGCACGAGAGATCGGCCAGCATGTGGAAGTCGCTGGCCGCTGTCACCGGCATCACAGGGGCTACTATTCTAGCCAAGGTCATCTACGGCATTGTGGGAAAACAAGATGACAGATCCAAGTAGGATTCAACACCGAGAGGCTGCAGGTGAAACAGCTTAAATATGTGCAGAACAGGTTTTGTGGGCCCAACACTGCCTCAGGTGATTCATCTTGTTTTCCAAAGAAACAAACTATGATCCGAGTTTAAATTCCAGACTGACAGGTTTTTTTTTTTTATTGATTCAAGGTGTCATGTACGGTGGCCATCAGAGTCAAAACACAACATTGGATGGTATATATAAAAAAAAACATAAACACAGAAGGCATGACATTTCACATGACACTAAAGGTAACATCAACAATGTAATCAGAGAAACAGAATTAATCATGTTATTTTCTTATTTTGTAATAATATCCTCATTCTAAAACAGAGTTAAAGACAACTGTTTTGTAAACAAGGTGACCTAAAACTAAAGTGGACACATAGATCACGTAGTAAAAGAAAAAGTATCCTGGTGTTGTTACCTAGCTCCAGAAAAAAAGCTGCCGCCTCGATAATGTTTCTGAGCCTTGTTGGCCACCATACTAATTGAAGGGAATTCATGTTTTTAACCACTACTTGAAGTTGCAGTTTCATAACATAGAAGATCCTGCCCCTGATGATGACAGCAGAGACCGAGTGGTGCTGTATTGTCTTATAAATACACTGAACAGGTGAGGCTGAATAGAGCAACATGAACTCCTGGCAGGTGTAATGTTGTAAAGTAGCTACATGGAGCTATGAAACTCAAAGAGTTTGGGGAAACCTGATCGTTCATCTGTCATTTCTCTGCAGTTACTGAGCCATAAATATTACGTACCATGTGATGGAAGTAATCAGGATATTTCACTTCTTTTGGATGTGCTAAACATATAATAAAAAAGCCACAGCCACTGTAACAAGGGAACACTGTGTTGTTATTATGACATTTTATTTTTAAATCATTTTCATGTCCTTTTGTTTTTCTTTAACTCTTTTGATTTAAGATTTAAACTGTGAAAAGAATCCAAGACTATACGGTTATTGAATCATTGTGTTCATTAAGTCCAGACTGGATGAAATCTACTTGACTTATTTTAATCTAAAGGACTGTATCAATCAGGCAGGTCATCCTTTGTGATGGTTGTGTTTCTGTTTTCTGACCTACAGGCAGTTTGTAGATTAAAAAAAGACCTTTAACTTTGCTGTACACAATCTTATTTGAACAGGGATTCAGTCTTGTAAATATGAAATAAATCTACTTTTCAATCAGCTTTATGTTTGGTGTAACTTGTTGTGGTGCACACAAAAAGGATGATGCTTAAACACAATTTCAGTGTGAGGGTCTTCATGCTTTATTTTGGGTGTTGATGTTCAGATCACACAGTCTTTACATGAGGGGGCATGTAGTGATGGAATACAGACATTAGTGACAGAAAGCTGATGTTTAGGGTAAACAAACCACCCTAATCCTTGTTTTTGTCAGTTCTCAAGATGTAATGAGTCCTTCTCTTTTCTTTATTGTCCCTATTTACTCCCCTTCCTCTTCTGAAGACTCCTCAGCCTCCTCCAACCACTGGATGAATTTCTGAAGCTGTTCAGGTAAAAAAGAAAAAAAACAAATATCAGAGCAGAGAAGGGAGATAAGCAAGGTGTAAGTTGATCAACAGCAGCTAAAATAAACTGAATGAACTGCTCGTAGATACGGCTAAATTTTTTTAAATTTGAGTAAATTGAGAAATATGAAACAGAATAATTCTAATGATAACTGTGAGAATCTTTGTGTTTATTTAAATGTTGCACGACACGGTGATTCCTCACAGGTGACATCGTAGTTTGTGCTACAACACAGTAACAATGTCATGACCTATAGTATTTAGATATTGCAGGAAAGTGAATAACCATTATTTAAACAAGCTCAACCAATAATGTTCACTTCTCTGCCTTTTTTTCCTTTTTTTTTTTTTAAAACTGATATTTTTTGTGTTTTCCTTGAAACTCCTGTTCAGTCATTCAAAGCTTTTTTTTTTAAATTGAAGGACATTGAAAAAAAAAAAGGCAAATTATTCATTTAAATATCATTTCATTAACTTGAATCCTTTTGAACTCCTTTATTACTCAAAAAGAACATAATTAACAGTCTCAGTAAATAACCTTGACAGCTGTAAAGCAGCACTTAAAGGATGAACAATAAGTAACAAACAATAAGTGTGATTATTGAACTTCCCTCTGTACCTTCTAATTGGATGATAAACACACTCTATACAATCTAAACTCAAATGTTTTACTTCTTCATTTTATGATATCTTCACACATCCTCAGTCTTTTTTAACTCCTCGTGTCCTCTGAGACCCTGATAACCCTGATGACCCTGATAACCCTGATAACCCTGATGACCCTGTTCTGGACCTACCCCCTGGTTCTTGCGGAGTTGTCTGCTCTTGTCTGTTGTGGCTCCCTGGGAGAACCAGCGGAGGATCATCTCCTCCTCCACGATCTCCAGCTGGTACATGTTCATCAGGACCTGCAGGGAGAAACGACATGTGTGATGAACACAAAGGATCTGCTGAGTCACACAGTTCCTGATGTTCAACAACCATCCTCTTCTCTTGTAGTCGGAACCTCGTCCCCTTCTCTCGCATCCCAACAGTTCCTCTCCAGTTGTCTCATCCAATAAATGCATAAAGGCCCAAAAATAACTTTGTAAAGAGGCCTGTGTAGAACTGTGCTTTCACACCACTATGATGCAGTCAGGTAGTGTTGTAGTCCTCATCTCAGAATATAAAGCATTTTTGCTCTGTCTTGTTTCGGTCTCAGACTGGGTGGAAAATGTCTCTTTCTAAAAAACTTCAATACATTTGTAGTTTGATTTTTTTTATCCCCCGGTTACGGCCGCAACCTTCCCCGGTGTTACGTGCTAAATGAGTGACACGCCAGCTCCACGCAAGATGATGATTTCACAGTGATAATTAATGATCTTGGTCTTGTCTTGGTCTCTGAGCACTCTGGTCTCGGTTAGTGTGGTCTTGACTAAACCACAACAGCCAGATGAAGCTAAAGCTAACTATCAGCTGCTCTCGGACTAATTAGTGGAAAACAAAAAAAAAACAGTTTTTAGATTTAGAAGGAACACAGGTGTTCTGTTATACATGGAGAACAGCAGAAACTGTGATGTAGAGCTAATATACACTCATTATTTTTTACATTCACATGGTTATCGCAATTTTGAACTGTTATCGCACATCTCATATGGAGCAGGCCTAGTCAGCAGATTACTGAGCGATGTGATGATGACTGACTCTGACCTTGACCATCGCTGCCCAGTGACTCTCCTGCTCCAGGAAATGTTCCTCAAACGCAGACAGACAGTCCAGCTGGTCCTGAGCTCTCTTCACATAGTTCTTAAACACCGGAGCCCATTTCTTCAGTAACTGAGAAGAGAATAGAAGGAAAATTACAGTGATGATATTTATTACTCTCATATTTTTACACAATGTGTTTTCAAAATGAATATACTTACAGGTAGGAGCAGAGTAACGTATTGTGACGTGGTAATCTGTTGGCCCTGCTGCTGGAAAGGGTACTCCAAGGCCACCCGGGTTAGAATCTGCATCACCTCCTTCAGAGTGATGTTGTAGGCGTACCTGAAGAGGAAGTGTGTGTGTGTTAAAGTGACAGAACCGTCCACTTTGTAATAAATGAAAGAACTGAAGGCAAGTTTAAGTTCCTCCTTACTTGAGAGAGTTGATCTCAAGAACAAGATTGTCAAAGCCGATGTTTTCCTCCACACCTCTCTGCAGAGTCCCCAACACCTCCAACTGAAAGACTGAAACACACCAGAGAGAGAGAGAGAGAGAGAGAGAGAGAGAGAGAGAGAGAGAGAGAGGAGGATTACTGTTTAAATTTAATCAGTTTTATTGTTCATTCTTAAACACTTTTTTTGATCAAATATTCTGAGTGGCGCCTGATGATACATGTTACCTTTGACAAGTTCAGTTGTGATGATGTGTATTGAGTGATGATAGGTTAGCCTATGCTAGCTGTTTCCATATAAACCATGTATTCAGTTAGCTCCCTGCAGAACACGTTCCTTAAGGGTATTAGGAATTAACAGCCTCTTGAAATGATATCTTAGCAGACCTGAAATGTAATCCTAGTTATAAATCTTTTTGAGTAAAGACAACAAAGACAACTGAAGCATCGAATGATGAATTTGGATAAAAGCCATGAGCCAAAAGTTTGCCTGTAATTTTCATTAAGCATCATTCTGACTTTTAATGAGATTCCCAAAGTCTTTATCACTGGCTGCTCATAGTTCCCTTTTGAATCAATGAGTTCATGTGTAAGTCAGGGATGAATGAACAGTTGATTAAGTGTCTTGCGAAATCTGAGATTTTCTATTTGGATGTTTTATAATAAACTAGAACATAAACAAAATGTGGAGCTGATTCTAAGATCGTTGACCAGCGGAGTGGGTAAATCACTGATTTTGTAGTTTGTGTTTTGACTCTTTTGCCAGCAGGGGGCAGTCATGCTATTTCACATGCAGGTGAAATGAACTTCTCTCACCTTTAACGTCATCCATCTCAGGCGAGGGAATCACTGGATCGTCAGCATCGTCAGGCTCACTGTCCTCACTTTCACTCTCAGGGTCGGGGTTCAACACCAAACCTGAGGCATGAAATACAAAATTCACGAACTGCAGCATCACAGGAAATCCCCGTCTGAAGGACATTATAAGGATACACTACAAAAGGCAAAACAGCCAAGCTGCTCTCGTACCCCACAGGCACTGCGACAGCTCTTCATCTTCTGTGTCATCCAGACTGCTGGCCCTCCAGATGTAGCCTTTCCCCTCCGCTCCGACCTCTGCGGGGTTAAACACTGAGAGACCGAAGAAACGCAGCTCAGTACCAAACATTTAAAAATAAAATTCATGAATGTATGTCGTTACATTGTCCATACGCACCTTTCCGTTTTGTTTTGTCTTTACTGTGACCGACCTCGGCATCATCACTCAGGAATTCATCGTCGTCCTCCTCTTCTTCCTCCTCGGGGTGGTGCATGGACACCACAGTGCCCTCAGGTAGAGAGATGTTTGGTCCAATCACCACCTGGCAAAACAGATCCCAGGAAAAGAAATACGATAAAAAGAGTCAAACACTTTTTAAAATGTTTTGCTCACAATGGACTTAGCGAGTAAAGTATAGCTACGATGTTAAAGCTCCTGTGAAGAGCTTTCTGTCTGTGTCCATATTCACGCCCCAGATTCTTTTCAGTTACACAGTTTATCTCATCAAGAATCTTTGATGTGGAAATAATTAAAAAAGACCATTTCTGCAACGTGCTGTTCATGACTTTTGTCTGACACCTACCTCCCAGCGTACATGGATTAAAAATAACAATATTGAAATGATCTGTCGATTATGCTTGTAAGCGCCATTTCTGCATTAATAAGTTTGATTATTATTGTTTGGATTATGATTTGCTAGAGCATAGCAGACGATATGTTTGTGTTTATCTTGGGAATATTTACTGAGATTATTCCTATTTTATTTTGAAGGTTTGTTGTGATTCTGTAAGACTTCCGTAGTGATCAGGAGACAGGAAGTAAAGTGTATTGTTACGTGTTACGCTGTCTAAGTAAAATAAACGAGTGACGGCGGAGCAACACGGTAGTTTTACCGTGGACACATGGGAACATGTGTGAAGCCAACTCAACGCGTCAAACAGTGTAATGTCGTCACTATAGAGTGGTTAAGAAAGAACTCAGTTTAAGAACATAAGATTTACTAAGAAGACCGAAGAAACCACTACAATGCTCTTGTTGGCTTTAAAGAAGCATCAATGTTAATATCCATGCTTTACATAAGTAGTTGACCTGTTTCTCTCGTAACATAGACAGTACAAATCTAAAATAAATTGTGTTTGCTGTCAGAAGATGAAAACATGCACTGCTTACGTTATAAGCGAGGACACACTGTTTATTCAGTCTGACGCCCTCTTTGACCTCCACCTTGTCACACACCACAGACTGGCTGATCTCCACGTTGCTGGCAATGTGAACATTACTCCAGATGTAGGCGTGGTCCAGTTTGACATTGTCACCTGTCGTCATAGCAAAGAGGTTCAACACCACTTTCAGAACATACCTACATACATGTCATCTCATTTTAAACACGTAACAAATAGCACTTTTAGTTCATGGTGGTGGGCAGTGAGCTCACCTATGGTGCAGTTGTTTCCGATGACACTGTTCGAGATGTAACAGTTTGCGCCGATGCTGGTGTCGCAGCCAATGAGGACGTTCTCCTCCATCTGGCTGCCGTGACCCAGGCTGACCCCGGAGCCTCGGTAGACGTTGTGGCGAGAATACGTGCAGCTCCGCCCCTCTTGGTCAACAAAGTTTGCCTCTGGGGTGAGCGGGTAGACCCACCGCCGCACGACGTCTGACGATACTGAATCGTACATGAGGAGGTTTGACACTCGCACGCCGTAACCGTCCTTGGTGGTATGCATGTGTATCTGGTTTCCCATAATCTGAACAGAAACAAGAGCGATTGTGTCTTAGGCAGCTCTAGCTTAGCATTGCTCTCGTCAAATTAAAAGTCACCACGGCAGCGCAGTACCTCTTCATTGACCAACATCCCGCGGACAAAGTCATTCCTAGTTTGGTAGTCGAAATTGTCAGTGAAAAGCTCAGCAACCTGAAAAAAAAAACAACGAGAACCCATGTGACCTGAATGAGTAATAAAGAGGGGAATGTCTGCTGTCTCTGTGTGGACGCTAACCTGTGGGGAACAGATGCTGATGTGACAGTCCAGCAGGTCGTGTCGAACCTCAAACTCATCACTGCTGCTGTGGAAAATGTTCTGTGAAACAAACAGCAGCGACTGTCACACATCACACATCACCCAAAGCCTTTGTTTGATAAAGATGAGATTAAAATGTGAAGCCCTCACCATGGGGAACTGTAGCCTCTTAAGCCCATGTGTTTTCTGGTAGTGTAAAACACGCTGGCTTCTGCTGTCCATGGCGACAATGACATCATCTTCCTCACAGCGCGACCTGTGACCGGGTGACGACTCCTTGAAGATAATCGTCATCACAGAGATATTTTTCTCCACCTTTCTACGATGCCTGCACAGGAAAAGCCACATTTAGCATCACAGCAAATAGTTTAGAGGATTGTCATTGTTTTTTTTTTGATGCAGTTAGGTCTCACCTGTGTTCTTGCAGCGCCTGACTGATGTCGATATTCGATACCACATCGCCGTAGACCAACACAAAATCAGAGCGGACAAGAGACTTGGCATCGACATCCCTGAGCACATCTCCTAAGGAGCGGTACTGCTCTGAGGTGATAATGTGGACTGTGTTTGGAGAGGTGGGTCGGCACCACTTTGACTTCCTGTCAGACACAGTAACAGCTCAGCATCTCCCATTGAGACCACTTAGCACACTGGTTTGTACTGTTAACACGTGGATGGAGAAACTTACAGCAAGTGGTCCTTGATTTCACTGGCCATCCAGCAGCAGAAGACAAATGTTTCCTGCACCCCAGTGGAGGTGAGGAACTCCAGCGTGTAGTCGATCATGGCCACATTACCCAGAGGCAGCAGAGCCTGTCAGCATAAAGTGACACGTAACAGTGTTCATGTTGAAACTACTAATAAACAACAACAACAAAAAGTGCTGCTCAACCAATCGAGGGGTTTAAAGTTCCGTGTGTAGCTATGAAACAGATGCTTCATCAGTGTCAGTGCAGCGCTGTCACTGTTTACAGCATGGAAGCATCAGCTAGCTAGCGTTAGCATGCAGTTAGCTTACCCTCGGTTGGTCTTTGGTCACCGGGAAAAACCTCCGGTTGAAGCTGTCAGCGACTAAAACTGCCTGGAGTGGCTGCTCCTCTTCTTCCTGCTCACCTGCACCTTTTCTACCTGAAATGCCTGGACCAGAACGACTCTGTTTTCCTCCTTTACCGGCCATGTTTGATGCACAGGTTGCATTGACCCACTCTGTCGTCAGACACCACTACGGTGTCCTCGGTGGGACAAACTTCGTGTCGCGTTTGGTCTTAATATTTACAGTCTGTGTGTTTGGTTAATATATTTACAGTCTGTGTGTTTGGTTAATATATTTACAGTCTGTGTGTTTGGTTTTAATATTTACAGTCTGTGTGTTTGGTTAATATATTTACAGTCTGTGTGTTTGGTCTTAATATTTACAGTCTGTGTGTTTGGTTAATATATTTACAGTCTGTGTGTTTGGTCTTAATATTTACAGTCTGTGTGTTTGGTCTTAATATTTACAGTCTGTGTGTTTGGTTAATATATTTACAGTCTGTGTGTTTGGTCTTAATATTTACAGTCTGTGTGTTTGGTTGTATTGAAACTCTATAATACAAAGTTATCAATTTATGCCATATTTAATTTAATGTTCTTTATAACTACACACGTGTTTTAATACATACCAAGAATGAAGTCTCTAAAAGTATTTTCATTTTAACTTTAAAAAGATTATTGTGATACTTTCAAGATGAAAAAGTACAATCCATGTGTTTGTGACCTTTTTCTTCTTCCTTTCTGTTTTGAGGCTCTTTATCAGTCAGTGTTATATGGATGCAACAGGATAATGATATTACTTTATCAATAGCGGCCCAAATTGAGCCCACACACCACTGCACAACACACTTTTGTTTTTTGTTTTTCTTGTTGAGCATAAATCAGAGCATGGACAGTAAAGATAAGATATTTCTGCAGCAGTCTGCATTTTAACATTAATTAATTAAAATTAGAGCCCGATCGATTAATAAGCCAGCTGATAACATCAGCCGATATTAGCATATCGAGTGACTATCAGTATTGGCTAGTTCTATTGCAGATATGTGCTGATTAATAGATTTATTTACCAGTTAAACAGCATTTCATGAGTGTCGTTGAATTACACTAGCAGTCCTTTTCTGGCTGTCACCAGTAGAGTGATCTATATGGATAATAAAAAAGCATCATCACTCTCCAGAGTGTCAAGCAGTGACACATGTACATGTGCAGTTACTTTCCAGTTCAGTCACCATCTTGTCTTTGTTATATCTTCTCCACAAGTGTTTGATAACTGCATTTGAGGGATCAATCCCTTTTACTGTGTATAGGCCTATCTATACCTGTCTCTACAGATTGAACAGAGATCTAATTAAGATATCGGCCAATATATTGGTATCGGGTTTTGTTTCGTCCCAATATCCATATCAGACCAAAACAAATCCATATCTGTCAGGCCCTACTAAAGATTACATCATGTAACTTAAATTTCCACAATTTGCAATATTTTACAATTGGTCTTTTTCTCTCATTTCTCTTGTTCTACTTCTTTAAATCAGGTGTATGAACATTGTTTCTTATACATCTTTTCTCATCTCCTTTCTGTCGTCCTGATGATGACCTTTACCTTCAATCTCCAACATCATCATGCATCATGGTTCAATTCAAATTAATGTTGCACAAAGACTCTCTACTTAATGTTTTGTAAGAATGACTTTACTTCAGAAAAAAAGTTTAACTTAAACAGGGACAAAAACATCCAGCTCCTGCCGTCCAACAGTTTAGACAAGAACCTTCATTCACTGTTCTGTAAAAGCTCAACAGTCTTTCTTTTGTTCTCAGATTGTTCAATTTATCACCCTGCCAGGAAAGAAAGACAAACTATTGGTGCTGCTTGGTAATCTTCTCGGCGTGCTGTAGCACTAAGTTGTAACGAAGGGTTTTGGAAGTCCAGGAAGTTGGAATTCCCTGAAGACCCACCTGTGGAAAAAAAGCACAATTTATTAAAAAAAAGAAAAAGAAAAGAGACATGTTAATTAAATTCTTACATATAATAATGGATATAGATTAGCCCGTTCATACCTGAGCCCCAAGACAAGCTCCAATGAAGGACCCTCTGCTACAGGTGCATCCCCCGCGGCTCATGGTGTCTCTGACTGCCTGCTCATAGTGCTCGGCCGTCAGGACTCCATGCAGCGCTGCTTGGAAAGCACCTGGCAAACCTAAAGGAACATCAGCGTCACATTTTAGTCCCCGAGTCCTCCCTGCTGCTTGTCTCACTATTCTTCTAGCAAACGACATCTCCGTGTGTCACAGATAATACTTAAATACTGATCATGGCTTATTTAAAGTTCTGATAATAGGTTAGAATGAGCTTTTTGAAGTTACCTCATGTGTTTGGAAACACCGCTGGGATCAGCTCCTGAGGAGTCTTGGATAGATTTTCCTTCACCTGATGAAGGTGAGCTGTAATAAAGGAGAAAAGAAAAGTAAACTCACAGGCACTTGCATACAATAAACATAAAAATAAGTTTAGACTCTACAATTATACAAAACACAACTTTTTAATTTTTTTTTTTTAAAGGGTTTATTTTGGGCTTTTCGTGCCTTTAATGCAGAGAGAGGACAGTGGGTAGAGTCGGAAACCAGGGAGAGAGAGCGGGGAATGACATGCGGAAAGGGGCCACGGGTGGAAGTGAACCCGGGCCTACCGCTCGAGACGAGAGTCTCAATACATGGGACGCGCGCCCTAACCATTGCGCCCCACAAAACACAACTTTAACTTTATTTCTAGAGAGATGATATATCTACCTCAAAATAATTAAATCCAGTCCATGACCCAGTCCCATGACTTTGGTTAAAACAATGCTGCATGCTTCACATACCAATGACTGCTTTGTCCAGGTCCTGTGGCTGCTTTCTCTTCGAGTCACTGAGCTGGTCGAGCACAGAGTCCAAGGCTTTTGGATCAGGACCATTCAGGATGTACTGCTCCAGGATCCTGGGAAACAAACCAGTATACAGTTTATATTCTATTCTATTTGTCTCTACTTTAAAAAAAAGGAAAAAGAAATAGACCAATATTTCTGCTCCTTCACATCTAAAATGTTGATACTGTGCATTAGCTACTAACAAAGGCCATTAGGAATTAAACACACAACTAAAAAGGAAGTCATATTTATGATTACCAAGCATTCCATAATAATGATCATTTAGATTAGTGTCCTTTACAAGACAATCTAGCATCATAAGTGTGTGTGTTAGCATTAATTATCAGGAAGCACTTTTTGTGCCTCTTACACTATTTAAGACTGAGCTGTAAAAGGAGCATGTAACTTTGTAGAGCTAGGAATTGTTGCACCACTGAAACTGAATTTCTGGTGTCTAATAAACCTGTGAGGGTTGGGCAATTTGATTGTCAATAAAACTAGAAGAAAGTGAAAAAAGAACAGGTACAGTTGATTTACACAATAAATCATGCAGACCTGGCAGCTGCAAGAGTCTCTGCCACACATTCATCGTTGTTCTGGGTGACTCGGACTGCCTGCTCCACCTTTTCCAGCATCTCAGGCTTCCCTGCATAAAAAGCCACTACAGGAGCCAGTTTGGCTATTCCATCAATCTGACAGTCGTTCTCACAGCCTGTGAGAGAGACACACACACACACACACACACACATCTTAGAGCTCTTGATCTTACACAAGCATTCACTATTTTTGATTAAATGTCTGAATTTTTACCCGTCTCCTCTTTGCCTGCGTCCACATTCTTCAGGAAGCCTTTCAAACTCCCTTGTCTCCATGGTCCCTCGATGGGCAGCTGAGGTCTGGGCCCTGATGTGCACAAACACAGACACAATGACATCAGTATTTCCATCTTACTGAGAGAAAAATATATAAATTCCTTTTCAAAGATAGTTTCCTACCTCCTTTCTCTCTGTAAGGATCATTGACAGGAGTGTCATACTCTGACCCCGGCCCAAAGAATTTTAGGGTGCGCTGCGTCAGATCATCAACATTCAGCCCTGGCGAAACATGTTACACAAATAAGGAATAACACAAGGGCAAACAAAGACCGTACAATATGATGTGAAAAATCATAATGTCTCTATATGAGAGAAAAGTCTGGAATAAGATCTAAAAAATGATCTTAGTTCCCAACCTGATACAAAGAGAACCAGCATAAAACTGTTGTAAAGATGATTTAATGAGCAGCCACAGATGAAAAAAAAAAACCCTATAAAAATGACCCTTATCAATCACTGCAAGTTTTCATCAATAAGGATTTATTAACATGTGTTCTTGTTTTGGGGTTAAAGGTTGAGGTAATGTTAATGTGGTGTGGATGATTACGGTACATGTCCAGAACCGGTGTAAAGCTTATTACTCTAAAGTGAAGCCATGTGGAAGTGTTACATATAAGTAAAGTATCAACATGATGAGAAGTGCACAGTAAATAAAACAATAGTTTGAGCAGCATGTCATTGTGAGTTGTTTTTATTCTTACTCACAGATGTTGGAGTTCTAATTCAACATGATGACACAGTCTATTTGGTCAACAAGACAAATAACTTTCGACCCCTACCTCCACATTCGGACAAGGACTCCAGCAGGACAAAGGCCTGGTCTCCGTAGCAGCTCTGCTGGCCCGTCTGCCTCCTGTAAAAAGGGTTGGCCGACTCAGAGCGGAACTCATGGTTTGGATCCTGAGCCAGAATCCCCTGCAGCTTCTGCAGGTCGTACACCCAGTGGAGGGGCTGCGCTGCAGGAGGAGAGTGATAGCTCAGTAAGCCGAGCAGTAAGTAGAGTAGAGGCTCTCAAACATATAAAATATGAAAACTAGAATTGATGTTTATGCAGTCAGAAAAACCTCACGGAGAGTTACACTGATGAATCCATAAAATGCAATCATCCAGAATATTGATATCGGGCATGTAGTGAATGTTACTTTTGTTATATGAGACGCAGAGAAGATTTTGCTTTACAATGTTTAATGACAGTAGAGGTAATCTGTAATATTCTTTCATACAAAATAGCCCCCATGAAAAACTTTCACCAGTTACCTGCTGCATCTGCGACAGCTGATCCCACAATGGCTCCCATTGCTCTGTTGGCCAGAGCTGAGGCCATCTGTGATAGAAACAATTTAACAAAGTGTTTTTGTTAAATACTATCATTCATGTTGTTCTTTTTCAAATTCATAATTGCGAAATGAACTAGTTGATCACTTAGGACAATTATTGCTATTAAGATAACTTTCTTTCAGCTCGTCAGGCCTACGTAACAGTCGCGCAGATAGCGTTCAACACTGCAGGCTAACGATACAGAGCCTGAATATAACATAACAATGACATTTTAAAAACTCTTATGGTAGATAGTTTCTATGTTACTTTTCCATTGTACAAACTACTAATGCAACCCACCTCGTTCTGGAGGTAAAGGAACAACAACAACAACAGCAATCCTCTTCCGCCTGTGTTGTGTGGTCTCGTGATGTAGAGGACAGATACTGATCTGCAGCTCGGCTCTCTTCAAAGGAAACTTCTTTTTTTTTTTCTTTTTTTTTTTTACCAACTACATCATTTCAAAGTAGAAATGGAGCACTAAATGTAATTACATAGACGGAAGGCAGAGGAAATATTGGACAAAATTAAAAAAATAATTTTGTTTTTTTGATGCCCTATGTAGACTATTATGTAGCCTATTATGTAGACTATATAGATAATTTGTCTGAGCCTATCTTTTGTGGTAGGCTATTTTATTATGCCTACCATCTCAATAAATCTCAATAAAAATATAAAAATAAAACTGAAACATGGAGTGAAGAGCGAGGTCATACTTTTATGTAAGGTCCCTCCTCCTGTTATGAAATGTTTCAGCTCTTTAGCACCGCCCAGCGGAAAGAAACTGTATTACCTATGAGTATTACCCGCACCCCTTCTTTTTCTTCTTCTTCTTTGGTTAGGCAGACTAGACAATCACCGGGTGTATTACTGCCCTCTACTGTCTATTGTTCAAGTCTTCGTCATGTTCTTAAGTGTTCTTTAACACATCCAAACAGTGTCGTCATCTTATTCCAGAAATCAAGATGTTTCCAAAGTCTGCACAGTGAAGGCAGTTTGCTGATCATGGCTCTCTGAGCAGCATCATTCTTTGGAGAGTGCAATTCTTGCACTGAAAGAAGATGTGCCGCATTGTTTCAATGCTGCCACACCCACAAACCCCCCCAAAAACAGATCTTTATATAAGTGATGTAAAGTTTTTATTTGATTGTTAGAGTTTACATACAGCACACGTATTCCTACAACTGTGAGAATCAAATGCATGTAATATAATCAAAACTTGATTACACACTCGGGGTCCAGATCAGACGATACAAATTACATAAAGTACAAAGCATGCAATATAAATAAAATACCCAAAGCAATAACAACAAAACTTGGCTATTCTGATGAGCTTATGTGTCAAATGTCAAACCCAAGCATTAGCTGTTAGTATCCAATATATCATACACTTTCCAGTATCCAAGCTGATTGCAGCATCTTGTAGGGCTTTCTAATTTATGATCTTAGTTATTTACAACAAAAACAAGACAAACTTGTTGTATGTGTAAATGTACTTGGTAATAAACTTGATTCTGATTCTTAGTCAAAGTTCCAGTGCAACAAATGTGTGTAAGTTCAGGATAGCAGAGACATGTGATGTAACAGTGGGACAACACACAGAAACAGAAAACAGGAACAAGTGGGAGTCTGAACGTTAATTGTAACATTGTGGTGCATGATGGACATATAGTTGACCTTTGGCTACAAAAGGTTGAACAGCAAAGGCCTTCTCCCCAGCAGACGATTTGACTTAACAAAACTCACCCATTCTAGATGATTTTCAACTGTATTTAAACATTCACTTCTGCTCTGTCCAGCAAGCCACGTATTCAAGAGGATACATTTAGACTTTTGAAGTGAATCTTTGCTGATGAGAATAACTTATTTGTGGCCGTACCTCAGCTGTGGATGCCACAGCAGGTTATTTCTAACAAAATGAAAGTTAAGACACCTGCTGTGACATCACTGATTGGGACTTGGCCAAAAAAAATGTATTTGCTATTTTTCTGTTTTTGCAAATTATATATAGGCTTACACATTTGGAAAATTTGTAAATTACATTAACTTTGCAGATAACTCAACCACAATTCAAAAAGTCTGTTACCCATAAACAAAGTACATTTCACCCGTGCAAACACATGCATTCCCCCATTAAGGCAGTTAAATGTGTGCAGCACTCGAGTCCAAGACAAATTCACCTACAGGAACAATATCATTTATTTGCATCACATCACATTGTATCCTATCCTATCGTTATTATCCTTATTCATATAGTTTCTTATATGGTATTGAATCGTAACTTATTGTATGGAATTAGATCTAATATTGTATGGTAATATATCACATATTGTTTCTTATCTAGTGGTATCGCACTTCATCCCATTGTATCCTATCCTATCACTAATATTGTATCGTACAGTTATGTTTTCATTTGCATCATGTCATGTCTGTTTATATCGTCAGGCGTCTCATCCCATCGTAAAGCTGTGGTTTGATATTTATTGACATCTCACACGCAGTCTCTCTGCCATCACTTTCACACAGACAGTCACTGTGGGCTGCATATTCTGAAAAGATGGGTGTGTCGTGTACGTGTGTATGTGTTTGTGGGGTCAGATGAAGTATTATGATACCATGTAGCCTGCTTTTATTTATAGCTTTAGCTCTTCCTTTCGATTTGTAAAGTAATATCTCATGTGATCATCTTCGGCATACTGGTCACACGTGTACTGTATGTTGAGATGCATCAGATTTAAAGAAATCCAAAATATTGCCCCATGGCCCCTCAGTAAAACTCTATGTTTCACTTTCTTCTTGAGTCAGGGCTAAGTGACACCCATGCTCAGAGTCCTCAGCAGGTGCACCTCCCTCTCCTCTCCTCTCCTCACTTCCTCACTGTCCCTGAGTGACCCTGCTGCACATTCTAGCGCTGTGTTTGTGCCAGGCCTAGCAAATAAGACACCAGCACCATCTCCTGATATGTACTTCTCTGTCCTACATCCATTATTTTTAGCTGGGATCCAAGCCTCCATCTGTACTTAATATGGGGAAAGAGTGTCTTGTTTTGCGACTACCTCTAAAACTAGCATATCAGTTTTGTCCAAAGCAGTCAGTTTAGGACAAAGTAGGCTGGCACACACATCTCTATCCTTTTATTTCTGATCTCCCTCCATCTACTTCCTCATCCTACTCTTTTCTCAGTCTGGATGGAGAGCAGGTTGGTCCTTATCTCTCACTCCACCCACTTTTTACATGTCTGCAACAGACACTGAAGACACACACACACACACACACACACACACACACACACACACACACACACACACACACACACACACACACACACACACACAAACTGTCACCCAGCAACCCCAGCAACCCCCAACTCAGCTTCACCCTACGTAGACACACACACACTTACACCTATGTCAAACTTAGCCCAGCCCCCCTCGCACCTGCGCCCCTCTGCCAGTTGCCCATGTGAGGTTTTTAATAAGGTGGATGCAGGAGTTGGTCTTGCTCTCTTCTGGGTGACGCGGATTGGAAGGGGTTCTCCTTAGTTAAATACATATATTTTTTAACCCCTCTACATTTAATTTCTGAAACTGTGAATTAAATTAGTTTATCTCAGAGAGGAGCCATGAAGTGGACCTGGGTGGTTGTGGCGGTCTTGCTCTCCTTTTGTGGGCTATCACTGGGCAAGGAGAGCTTGGACTTCCCCGAGTATGATGGCAAGGACCGTGTCCACGACCTCAACGCCAAGAACTATAAGTCTGTGATGAAGAAGTATGATGCCATGGTGGTTTACTACCATGACCATCCCGGATCCAGCCGCGTCGCCCAGAGACAGTTTGAGATTGAGGAGTTGGCCCTCGAGGTGGGTTTAAAGTGTTGAAGTCATAATGCAAAGCACCCAGATATGTTTGGGTTATGGTTGGAGGGTCTCATAGAAGTTGTGTTTTTGTTTTGTTTAATTAATCTGGTTGCATAGATTAGAAATAATACAGACGTGAAGTGTGTGACTGTATTGTGCTGGTGAGGACTTTGGTTTAATATAGATGCTAAAACATAATAAGAGATTCTTATTAAAAGTAAAAGAAAAGAGAAAGAGAGATATTTTGCATTGAAAAGCGATGATGCTACAAGGTGGGAAAAGCTGAGCTGTCAGTTGCAAAGATATTATTTATTCTGTCTTGCGCACAATGTATTTCTGTGTGTGCGTGTGTGTTTGTGTATGTGCGTGCATTTATGAGATCAACAGGTCTCTATTAGTATGCCTATCACTCTTCAGACCTGCTCTGAGCATGTATACTCAGCATTTTCCTCACATTCCTCACAGAGAGGCATTACATCATCGTTCAGTGCAAAGCTTTATAAACTCACAGCTGAAGGCCATCAGCTATTTTGATTTTGGACAAAAAAAAAAAAAGAGTGTAAAAGTAAAGTTAGTTAGGTTTATCAGTGCACACACAATAAACATGACTTGTCTTTATCTCCAACAGCATTTTTTCAATCATTTGTGAAACGCCAAATGTAGGCTATTTTATCTTTGAAAGTTAAAAAAGTTAAACAGAGCTCAAAAGCCCCCTTTTTGACAGCCATCCTTTTGATGTTGAAATAAATGATTAATAATTGATGCACACATTTAGTAAAAACTTTTGGCAAAACCCCAATAAATTGTTGTCTTGCAATGTCAACAAAATGGGATGAAACCCTAACCCAAGTAGTTCATCACAGAAAGTTAAACATTAATAAACAACATCGAAGAGAATGAGAGATGCTGCTCTTCTCAGCATGTCACATCATCTCAGCAGCCTGCTGTGTCTGTGTATGGGAGCGTCGGGGCTCGGTCTCAGGGCAGGAGGCCAGCTCTGGAGGCTTTGGCTCCAGGAGCGCCAGCTCAGCTCTCCGCCGTGATTGACATCTGCGGTACTGTACTCGTCAGCGGATCCCGCAGCGCTGAGCATCACTGCCACCTCGCCAAAATAGTCCCTGTGTGGCTTTTGGCGCTATATTTATCCTGAGCTGCTTTTGTGGCTGGTTGATCTCCCTGAAGGCTTGTGTTTCTCCTCATGAATGTATTATGATTTACATTTGATGAAGATGTAATATTAGTAACAGTCAACAGCAAAGGGCTCTTAATCTCACAGGTCAAGGCTCTATGGGGTTGGTAAAAGTTAAATTAAATGTGACATGATGAGGAAGCTTCTCCTTGGTTAAAGATTAGGTTGCTGTTTTTAGAATATAAAGTACTTGTCTTCTCCAGACTAAATGCACAATATTACTTTAGACACTCTTCTTGAAAACGGGCTGTAAAACACAACAGTTTTAAAAATTAGGCGACGCCAATCAATCCAAAGGCGGCAAAATAATTTTATCCAAATGCAGGAAATTCCATTTAGTCATATTTTGGGGTTTCATTTCAAACATCATCAGTTTTTCTTTTATTGTAGTGCGACGGTGCATGTTGTGTATTTGGAAAACATGCAGTATATCAAGCTCTGAAATGAAATCCCATCCTGATGCTGTTGGTTTAACTTTACATGTAGTTGGAGAGTTTGAGTTACTCTGAAGAAATGATACCAGCCAGAGTACAGCAGTTGCACATTCTGAACACTGAGGCCTAAAGACAATTTTACATGTTGTACATTTAGACATGCAGAAATAAAGTTAATGATTCATTTTATTTATATCATGCAAAAGGAAAAGTCACAACACAAAAAAGATCGAGATATTTTTATTTCATGTTCAAGTCAAGATATGGAACATTTGCAAATGCACATATTACCTTTTAAATGTATATTTATCTATTTTTAAACAGTTTTACAGACAAATGACACGAGTGCCTTTTCTTGTCTGTTTTTCTCAGATAGCATAACCTTACTCATGTCAGGCCCATTAAATATTTTTTGTCTATTTAAAGGTTAAAAGGGTAGGGTCTGCAACCACATTTAATTGTAAGTATACCAAAATGCAAAAAAGCTCCTGTCAGAAATATATTACATGTTTAAAGCTTTTATAACTATGGTCGTCTATACATATTTACACACAAACATATTTCAGATATAGGCTATCTTACCTGCTGCTTATTTACAAAGTAAAATCTCTAAGAAGCCCCACCCATCTGTACTCCAATCAAATGAAATAAATGCCAAGAATTATTTACACGACAGCCTTCTGGACATCCTGGTTAGTTAAACTATTTATGCCAGTAAAAGCAGCTGCTCAAGATCTCTGACAGCAGCGTGCACCCGTGTGCGTATGTGTGTGTATGTGAGTGCATGCCCTCCAAACACACTGCAACAACACTCAAACCACTTCCTGAATGCAGTCAGGGTGTGAATATGGACTTGCCATTGGCTGAATTAGCTGTCAGTCATGAGGTTCAAGTTTCATACAGATTTAGAAAGTGCATAAGCAGCGCTCTTAAAAGCGGGCTTTTATGGTAATGAAACTACTGAGTGAAGCAGCTTTATTAAAAAGGTGAAAAAGGGCAACAAACGTGGCCATAAGCACTAATTTTACAGTCCATTCACATAGGCATGTTTTTGAGATGTATAGTAAACATCTGAAAATGTCTTTGGTTATTTGACGATGTCTTTGTTTTACAGCTTGTAGCCCAGGTCCTGGATGAGTTTGAAGATGAAGATGTTGGCGTCGGCCTCCTTGATGCAAAGCAAGACAAGGACGTAGCAAAGAAATTAGGTATATATACCCCTGAAAGAATACAGCTGGAAACACTTGTAACTAAGAGCATAATGCAAAAGGAGACAAGCCAGTATCAAACCAAAAAGCTGAGAGAGAGTTCAGCTCCTGTTTTACTTTGATGTCTCATGTTTTAAAGATGAAATTTTTTTAAATAAATCTAGAATGATTAGGCCTGATCATTCATCACTATAACTTTAGTCTGGACCTGACACTAAACACCTAATTCTGTTTCTAATCTTCCTAGGACTTGATGAGTCCGACAGCATCTTCATCTTCATAGAGGATGAAGTCATAGAATATGATGGCGAGCTTGCAGCAGACACTCTTGTGGAGTTCATCTATGATGTTCGTGAGGATATAATCTTCCAGTTAATAGCCTGCCTTATTTCAGCAAAAAAGTCTATAATTCTCAGTTTGTTTTCTTGGAAGATGACCCAGAGAATCTAACACTGGGCTCTGCTTCCAGTCCTCTCCCCCATTCTCCTCCGTGACCCTTGTTCTCTCCGTAGGTTCTTGAGGACCCAGTGGAAATTATTGACAATAGTAGGGAACTGAAAGGCTTCGAAAACATCGAAGAGGACATCAAATTGGTGGGCTACTTTAAGAGTCACAAGTCAGAACGTAAGAATCTGTACTGTGATAGCCTGATTACCTGTTTTAATTTTTTTTTTGCAGTCGCTTCTCAAAGTAATTGCTAACAACAGCATATCAAGCAAGTGGGACCGGGCTCAGCTGGCATGATTTAACTTAGAGCTTCTTGAGCACATGAAAGCTACATATATGATATGCAAATGTTTACAGTCTTAGATGTTTGTGCAGGGGATAATCTACTGAAACAACTTGATGAATGCCTTTAAAATTTCAGATTTTGAGGCATTTGCCGATGCTGCTGAAGAATTCCATCCTCATATCAAGTTCTTCGCCACCTTCAATCCCAAGGTGAGTAACGACTGTTAAACCTTCAAATAAAAGCTGACTTTTAAAAAAAAACTGACTCATCAAACGTAGAGACATGACTGTTCATTCTCACTTGTCTCTCTTGTTGATTTAAAAAAATGTTAATTAGTACAGCCTTAACACAAGAGCTGGTATTAAATTATACATGTAAGTATACATCATCACAACTTTGAAAAATCAGTGGGCCAGTCAGTGAACCTTGAGGGACATCGTAACAGAGTGTGAATATTTTACCACTGATGTATACATACTCTACTTGGTTTATCAACCCAAGAGAAAAAAATCCTTTACAGCATGTATTAAAACTAGACCAACAATATATTTTCGATGCTATTAAGGTCTTCTGCATTAGAGACTTTTAAAATATCTTCAAAAAGGTCTCATTACCCTGACCAAAATGAATGATTTGTTTCTCTAGAGAATAAATCATTTTTCTAAAAATCTACAATATACATATTTTTTTAGATCTTAATATGTTTTGTGTTCTGTAAATATATCTCAGTGTGCTAACTTTGACACCTTTTTTGTATATTTACTACAGACCCCAGTTGATCTTTACTGTAGACTGACACAAAAATGTCAACTTTTGCATCACTTTATTGAGGATAATTCTTACTAGGATTAAATCAGGCATCATTTTCAGTATTTTGTCAGTCAGTCACTACGTTTTTAATTGTAAGCCTCATAATTACAATAAATGTTATCTTGATATCATGACGTCTAATAAATAAGCACTTGTAGAACTGGACAATATGAGCAAAGCCATCTGCCTTGACTAGTTGTATTAACAGGGAAAGTGAGAGTGGGTCAGAAAAAAACTGAAGAGATGGCCAAAAGTCACTTTTTCCAAGTAAAGTCTCAAGTCTGAGATGGCAGCAGAAAGTTCAATTCAAATCTCTTACAGTTATAATTAAAAGACAATAAAATGAAGTTAACTGGAAAGAGGTAAAGACACTCAGAAAAATTAGTGCTGCTCAAAGTTGTTAAAATATAAGGTATTTATTTTAGGACTAAGGTGATCATGCTTAAGATCATAAAAAAAAATATCTGTTAAGATTATTCTTAATTGCTGAGTCATTCAATTAACAAACCTTCAATGAATAAAGTATCAACACGGCAGCATTCATTACAATCTGCCTTCACATCTTCCTACTCAGCTCAAACTGAAATTTTGTCCTAAAACGTTTGGGCTAATACTGTCGTCAGCAATTATACATGTTACCTCAATTGGTGATTATGCTTTTGCAAATTGACTTTTTTGTTTATAAGCAAACTGTTAACATCTTCATTGTTCCTGGTCCTTTACACTTGGTTGATGGTGATGATCCTTTTTTTGGTGTGTTACAGGTTGCCAAGGCCTTGGAACTTAAGCCTAATGAGGTAGACTTCTACGAGCCCTTCATTGACGACCCAGTGGTTATCCCAGGAAAACCTTACACTGAGGAAGAACTGGTGGACTTCATTGAAGATAATGACAGGTATGGTAATTAATGCTGTAATACAATAATGTCATGATAAGGGATTAGCTGAACCTTCTGTAATAACAGAGAATAAAACATAAAAAATATTTTATATTTTTCAAGACCAACCCTGAGGAAGCTGCAACCACACAACATGTACGAGATCTGGGTAAGAACTTTAAAACTTTCAACATTACAAAAAATAGGCCAAAGATAAGTTGTGTTGCACTATTTTTTTCATTAAGGGAATCTCTTAAACTTTAATTTGGTAATGAATTATGTCGTTTTAAAGGGAGCCAGATTTAACATTGTACTTCTTTTGGGGAGTGGGTAGCTAGCTAATGCTAAGAGTGTACATTATGTGGCATGAACATTAAGTCTAAGCATTACACTTATCAAAAGGTAATTGAAAAGATTCACATTCAATCCCTCTCTATAAACTAGTTCATTCCATTTGGTTAAGCTTGTCTTTATGTTCTACACAGGAGGATGATGTTGATGGTGAACATATCATTGCTTTTGCAGAGGAATCTGACCCAGGTAAAAGGAACCCAGAATTGATTGTAAACATTTCTGACCTGACTTGCCCAAAGCAAATTATGAAGTGTTACATGTTACATTACAGGAAGTTTAGTGCATGGTGACGATGTATTGCTGAGTGAATTCTAATCAGACTTTCAGCTATACAGTGTTCCTGAAAGGGAAATGAAGGATGGGCAGATACTCATCACCACCTTGTTGATTTGCTTTATTAACTTGAGTGTTACAAGTATGCCATTTTGTACTTTCCACTCCTTAGATGGTTATGAGTTCCTTGAGATCCTGAAGAAAGTTGCTGAAGATAACACTGAAAACCCCGACCTCAGCATTGTCTGGATTGACCCTGATGACTTCCCTCTGGTAAGAATATTACACAGTGCGAGTTGAATAAAGCAGTCTAGTCAAAGCACACCAACACTCAAACAAAGACTCAGATTAATTAATTTATTATTTCCATTTCACTGGCTGATAACAACTGGATTTAATGTAATTAATTTCCCCTGCAGCTTCTGCCCCATTGGGAGAAGACCTTTGGAATTGACCTGTCCCACCCACAGATTGGTGTCGTTGATGCTGACGATGTGAGTAATATTTTTGCCACTTCAATCATAGGTGACCTTTGCCTTGCCCAGAATCTAGTGTGGCTCATCAAGTCCCTCTTGCATGCTGCATATTATTACAGGCCTGTTGTTTGGTGCTTAAGCCCAACAGGTCTTTCAAAGATTGGTGCGCAAGTGATCAAAAGGTAAGGCAGTGGTTTGCTGACCTACATGGGGCACGTTTGAATAAAACAAGACAAACCAGCAATCTTGACCTGAAACCTGTGCTCAGGGTCATTTGTGATTCAGGACCTCCTTGTTCTACAGGTGTGACCTGTGGGTCCCTCCATAGCCTGCCTCTAAAGGACAGGTTGCCTCATTCCCCATGGTCCATATAGCAGCCATTTCTTCTGATCTCAGTTGAGGTTTTGGTTTAAGACCCTTAGTTGTTATCAACTCTCTCTAAATGGAACAGAATCTACTTCAGAAACTGTTCCCCGAATCTCGACAGGGACAGAATATTGTTCATGACTCTCTGAGGTCCTCTGCTCTCAGGAAAGAAACTGTGTTGCTTTTGGGGAAGGGGCCATAGAACATTTGCAAAGTTCATTTCAACCAAAGGGGTTCCACTCAACCTATCTTTTTAATTAATGAAGGATGGCCCAATCCTTGATCTCAGGCAGGTGAAGCAGATGGTAAAGGTCATTTAAGTCAATGTGCTACAGTCCAGCACCATACAGGTTCCTTCAATTTTGGACCATTGGCTGATACGTGCGTCGAATCAGAAAAGAAGCATTCTGCCACACAGTAACTCTTCTGGTTAGCGAGGTAGTTGAGGCTCACTGTATCATAATGGCCTTTTCCTATATCGTATTGGAGGACGACACCTTCTGCCTTTTCTCCATTTTCCAGAGAGGTGTCAGGCTATCATGTGGTCATTCCTCTGGTTGATGGGCATATTGAAATCAACAATAGTCTTCTCCCTAGGGCTCCTTCCATTGCGATCCTTTTAGATCTGAATCAAGCTCTCTCTAGGCAAGTGAAGACTAAAGCTGATGGTGGTTCACTTGATCTATGACAGGTACAGAGAGAGTCAACCTGTTTTCTTTTTAAAATATTTACATACAGAGTGTTTTTGGTGGCCAGATTATTCCCAGTGATTTGTTGTTTCATAATAGAGTGAAGGGCGAGGGCTCGAAACGTTACATGTGATATTCCATTAAATTCTACTTAATTGGAGCAGCTTCTCAGTACTTTTTCCCATAATAGAGTGACCAATGAGGACATTTGGCCAGACCAGGTTGGTTACTGAGTTGTTGCAATCATCTGTGGTCCAAATAAGTACTTAACGCTAGAGCATCCTCAATCACCACGCTGTATGCTGACAAGTGAAAACTCTTCTACAATAGGTGCAATTATCAACAGGTGGACTCATGGCATGGCCCTGACCTTTGATAGCTGTCAGATAAGGTTGCTGTTGCCCCTAGAAAAGACATTGGTGATCTTCATGCCCCAATTATTTGAAGGGACTCTTTGCATTGGAATTCTGATTGGCCTAGGGCCATGAGGACCAACGCAGTCAGTTTTATTCCTGGCTTTCTGTTTTGAATGATTGGATATGCAGTTTGGAACTAGATAGGCAAGCATTAAAAACATTCTTTGGATCTTCTACTTTGCTTGCAGGCTGACAGTGTTTGGTTGGACATGGATGATGGTGAGGACATGCCTTCAGTAGATGAACTGGAGGACTGGATTGAGGATGCTCTGTCAGGAGAAATTGACCCTGATGATGATGATGATGACGACGATGACGACGATGATGACGACGATGATGACGACGACGATGATGACGATGACGACGACGACGACGACGATGACGACGACGATGATGACGATGATGATGATGACGACGACGATGATGATGACGACGACGACGATGATGACGACGACGACGATGATGATGATGATGACGACGATGATGATGATGATGACGACGACGACGACGACGATGACGATGATGATGATGACGATGATGACGACGATGACGACGATGATGACGATGATGACGACGACGATGATGATGATGACGACGATGATGATGATGATGACGATGACTGGTAAATCATCAAGTAATAATATATTCTTCTGACCAATGCAGTTTCAAGTCAACATCATCAAGTCAGATCATCCCATTTTGTATCTAGTTCTTATTTTGAACATGTCAGTTCATTTTGATATCTCATCTTTTCATCATCCTCTCTCTTCATCTAATAAGAACAATATTCCATTACTTGTTCATCTCTCTCCCCTACATATTGAGAACTCTCCATGTAACAAAGTACTTTGTAAGAACCTGCAGTGCCTTTATTCCCACATGTAACACTGTCTGGTACAATAAAAGAAGAAATTCTTTCAAAACCTTTCCATCTTCAGCTATTGATTTTCATATTATTAAAGTTTTATTTTCCAAAGTACTGTTGCATTGTTGTATGCATTATGTCTGAGTTCATCTTTGGAGTGTGTTGCAGATTGAATGTGTTTTATTTGTCCAGTTTTTCCTGTTTGCCCCAGTATTAAAAATAACTGAAGTCTAACCCGAAGGTGCTAGCAGGCTTTTCTGACAGTTCTGAAGTATCACAAGCCTACTCTGTGAAACACTGTAACACTGTACACTGAAAGTGCTGCACATCATATGGATGTTTTCTACAATGACAAAATATGACTACAGCCTAATTTTATTTTTGTAACAAGAGAAATTTAATTTACTGTAAAGTCTTAAATAAATGACAGCTTGGACAGAAACCCCATAAGTGTGTAGCTTTTTTGAAAGTGTTTGTGTGTGGGTGTGAATCATAGATGTTTTGAAATAAAAGAGACTATACTAGTGTGTATGGTATTAAAGCTTTATATTGACAGGAGTTTTTGGATATGAACCTATCACGATACAGGAGATATGATTCTATAAATAATTATACAGTAATCCAGGTGATTTGATGCACCAATTTGTGAGGCCTGATCCCTGTAGTTCAGCTAGTAATAGATGCTTACTTTGCACAAAGTAAAAAGAAAGTGGGTGGGTCAATGCAAGTAAGATGATCTCAACGTGTACAGAAATTCAGGCTTTTAGTGAGACTTATTTTGGGGCTTTTTGGGCCTTTAATGTAGAGATAGGACAGTGGATAGAGTTGGAAATCAGGGAGAGAGAGAGAGAGGGGAATGGCATGCGGGAAAGGAGCCACAGGTGGGATTTGAGCCTGGGCTGCCAGCTTGGAGGACCATAGCCTGCATACATGGGGCGCGCGCACTAACCACTGCGTTACCAGCGTCCTGCTTTTAGTGTTCTTCTTCAAGCATTATCATACTGTAGATAAGCAAACAATGGGGATATGTGTCGAGCCTTTATTTTCAACATCTGTGTATGGAACTTTTAAAGTCCTAGTCAAGGTGGAAGTAAACAAAACTTAGTGTTTCAACTTACAAACCATTTTGTTTTATCAGTGACGCACATATTCAGTTTCAGCTCAATATAATTTACCAGCCAAAAGATGAACTGATGCACAGGAACGTGTCTTAACTATGAGAGGATGAAAACAACTTTGTAGGAATATTTGTGTAGTCAAGCATATCTTTCTCAGTATTAAAACAGAAAAGCAGAAAGAATATCAAGCCTTATAAAGATTAGAGCCCTTTGGCATGTGAGTGAGAGTGAGTCCATTTTAATCTTTTAGCTCCGCCCTTGTGATGTCTGCTCCCCCCTGGCTCCCCCTCAGCGTTTACGCGCCTGCGCTGTTATGAGACACGCCCCTTCAGTATGCAAACCATGTGGCTTTCAATGGTAAATACAAATCTCTGCTAAATTTAAAGTCCCATTTTATTCCGATTTTTTTTTTTTTTCGTACACGCGTCAAAGTCTGCACAGCCGGAGCAGCCGAGATGTCCGCGGGCGGTGTGAACCTCCAGGCGCAAGTGGAGTCGGTGCTGGGAGCGCTGGTCAAAGCGGCCACGGTGGAGTTAACGAAACTGTTCGAGAGCAGGTATCGAGCCTCGGCGCAGGGTCTGGAGTCGGGCCGCACCGAGGACATAAGGGAAACGAAACATTGGAGACACTGGATAGATCACCGACTGGAGACACTAAACGCAGCATCGGAGTGCAAGTGGACGAAGACATTTTAGTGCCGTTGCAGCTTTGTGGTGGGTGTCTTTTTGAGATTGAAATACTCGTACTTCCTGTTTACGTCCATGGCTAGGCTGCAGGGATGCATGCACGAGTGGAGTGCACACAAGTCGCTCCTTTAGACTTAAGATAAATAATGAAATCAGAATCATAATATTTGCTAATCGTGCATGCATCAATGCGCAATTTGTAAATGCCACTGTGTTTTTTTGTGATGTTGCACTGAAGTCCTGCTGTTTGTCCCCTCTGCAAACCCAGTGTAAAGGAATGTACGTGCCCCTCTGTCTTAACCCTTCCCCCTCTTCTCCACAGGTCCCCCTCTTATCTCAGATGATCGTTTGCGGGACTGCAGCGAGGAGGAGGAGGTGGTGGAGGGGTGCCCCATTCCTTCAGAAATCCTCCTGGCTGAAGTTAATGGACAAGTTGACCCCGAGTGGTCCTCCCTTAAGGAGCAGGTCAGTGAGGGTTTAAAGGGGTCTTAAATCAGCCATGAAATGGGGAGGGCATGAATGAATGTCACAGTGAGCAATTGTGACTTTTTCATAAGCTGGTCATCAAAGCCAGGGTCGCTGATCCTCCAGCAGAACATCTAATCATGTTTGAGTTTGAATTGAGCGCCATACAGGTTGTTTCTCCTGACATGAACTGTCCTGCAGACATACTTACATTTGACGTGTTTCTCTCAATCAGATTGTGTTGGGGAACATGGAAATGGATGAGTTAAGCGAGTTGGAAGCAGAGACAAAAGCTGATAGCTATCCTCAAACAGAAGCGGTTGTAAATGGTAAGGAAAAGTACAATAAACGAGTTAGAATTCAAAGCTGAGGAACACTAACACACTGTCTTATATTTTAGATATGGGAAAATAAATGCAAAATAAATGCAAAATAAACGGATACAGACACACACATTAAACACGCAAGACTGCATTAATAAGAAAACTAGTTTGGCATACAGTTTTAAAATGTGTTGTTTTTCTTTATTGCTTGGCATCCGTCTTAAAACATGTTTAAAGTTCAAGGCACTATGGTGCAAAAAATAAAAATAAAATAAAAATAAAGAAGCCCAGAAAATACCTATAATTCCAAAAGGCTGCACCTCACCATAACATTTGCATCTCTAACTTCAGTTCCTTTCACATTGAGCAAAATGAATGCTGACAAATATGAAGAAATGCTCCCTTTGTGTTGCACATGTAAATAAAGTTATGTAGAAAATTCAATAGACAAATTCAACTGTTACTTGAGTTTTTAGCCAAAGAAACTAAAAAATATATACCTAAAAGAGGAAATGCTTGGGGCGCTGGTGGCGCCATGTAGGAGGCTATGGTCCTCCAAGCTCACGGCCAAGGTTCGAATCCCACCTGTGGCTCCTTTCCCGCTTGTCATTCCCCACTCTCTCTCTGATTTCCGACTCTATCCACTGTCCTATCTCTCCATTAAAGGCACAGAAAGCCCCCCCCCCCCCAAAAAAAGTGCTAAATAGGAAATGGATGTGAGACTTTCACAGGACCAGTGTTGTTTACTATATTTCATCCGCCTAATGAAGAACTACCTTTAGTTAACTTTTATAGCAAATTGATTAAATCCTTCTAACATTTTACTTTGACCTAAAAGAAGGACTTGGACAGCTCTTTACTAATCTTCTGACCATGTTAAGCACTTTTACTCTACATGTAATTCACATTCACACACAGAGGATGCTATGTAAATTGTCGAACCGCCTAACAGTACAAATCTATAGATTTCAGTATGTGATATTTGTCACCATGGTAATAATAATAACTAATTTATATCAAAATAGAGCAGAACAAATGATCTGCATTATATTTGTGTTAAACCAAAATGTTCAAAATGCTGTTGTAAGAAAATCAGAAATGAACATACCTATTCACAAACTGTCAAGTGCCCCGATGCATGCTGGGATACACTCGGCCTTCCATCAACCCTTAATAGGAAAAAAAACGATAGAACTGAAGCATTGTTAGCTTAGTGCACATTCAAAAAATATATAAAGCAATAGATGTGGTCTTTCTTACACCTAGTGGCTGATGTGAGGTACTAAAACACAAACCAACCTGTGTGTCCCTCTGTAATCTCTGCCATTGATTTCAATCAAGTTTTGTCTGATAAATATTAAACACAGCACTAAGAATGCAGACATAAAACCATGTGGGAGCAATACCCATGCACTGAGATATGTTAGATATATACCCCTTTGTGTTTTACAGATGGCAGTTTAACATTATATTCATGTCTTTCAGCGTCTTCAGGGACATCGACGGAGACATTAAGACACGGGTCTACTCCTACCAAACAGAAGCCTCTCATCATTCAGCCAGATACGAGTAATATCATTTCTGGGGAGAGGGTGAAATTTGTTTGCCCGCTAATCCTCAAACCAGAGTCTCCAGCCCCAAAACCAGACAGCTCAGAGACTCCTGTTCAATCTGAGCCTCAGCCGGCCCACGTCAGCACCGCCAAGGGCACAGCCTACAGTCCGTCCCCGTCTGACGGGGCTGTGACTCCTGCTAAGGTTTGGGAACGGATCCACACTCCCAAGGAGACAAAGAGCAACCTCCACCTGAAACTGAAACGGTCTTCACCAGACAAAAAGCTGACAAGCCCCTGTACGGTTCAACTTGTGGACGTGGTGATGGTATCTGAATGGAAGACAAAGCCTCAGGCTGATGATGTTAAAGGTCCTGATACTTACCACCCTCTGCCGAAAGACCTCCGCAGCCACCAGGGTCTGCACACAGGCCATCGCCTCTGTTGCTTCACCTCCTGTGGAAACGGCGTTTGGCGGCTTCAGAAGGTGGTCACACACTCCCGTGATGGATACACGTGCAGCATCTGTAAGAAGACATTCAAACGGAGGAAGGTTCTGCGACGGCACGAGCGCTTTCACAGCGGAGAAAAACCCTACTCCTGTTCAGTGTGCTCAAGACATTCGCCCTGAGGAAGAGCCTCCGGCGCCACCAGAGGTTCCATACGGGGGAGAGGCCGCACACCTGCACGCAGTGCAACAAAAGCTTCCGTCTGCGAGAAAATCTGAAAACACATCTGAGGTTCCACACCGGAGAGAAGCCTTTCAACTGCAGCACCTGTGGAAAGACGTTCAGGATCATGAAGAACCTGGAGAAACACGAGTGCGATGTGGTCTCTGTTCCTCCATTTGTTCCTTCATTCAGGACGATTGCTGGCTTGTAGCTGTGGAAGAAGTGGCTTGTTGAAGTGCTTTCACCATATTCTACCTCGGACTTAAAACATTTTAGTTAGAAAACTAGAACCAGAGTTACGCTCAGTATCATTTGGCCATTCCAGAAAGGTTATATAATAACACATGAGGGGCATTCAGTGAGACACAGACATTATTTTACACACTACTACTTCTACTGATGTTTGTGGATTTTATTTTTTATTTTGACTTCTTATGTTTGTGGACAAATTTAGGGACCAGTTCAGTGTGTAGGATTGTACTTCAACACTTTCTAGCATTAGACCGTCTAAGAAATGCATTTTAAAGAATCCCTTGCACCTGGCACAGTTAACCAGGTGTACTCCTTACATGCTGATGTTCTCCAGCTTATTGTAAATGGTTTGAAGGGCATCCGTTACAT